CACCAAAATGGGGGATGTAGTGCCACTGAGGCCAGAGGGAACCACACCCTCAAGGGTGGGGAGTTATGGTATGGGGGGTCCTGGGCGTGGAGTCTTTTAATTCTTCAGACAATCCTGGGAGCAGCTGTCCCTGTTTCATAGAGAGTGGGGTCACACAGCTGGTGAGTGGGCAGCCAAGACTCTGTTCAAGTTTGTGTGGGTTCAACACTTGTGGCCACGGTGGAGGGACATCTGAGCCAGGCCTCAGAGAGTGGCAGGGGGAAGTTGGGTGGGGCAGGGCACCCTTCTCATTCCCCTGAGGCTCATCTTCTCGGTGCCTCCGTTTCCTGGAAAGGGATAATAAGATTATTGTGAGGATCCCCTGAGTTCATATATTCAGACGCTTAGAGCCAGGCACACAGAAGGGCCGGGGTTGGCTAGTTTGATTGCTGAGGTAATTGCTAATATCTTCCAGTTTCTATTGGTCAAGGTTCCGCAGAGAAGCAGAGCCAGTAGGATGTATATATTAAGAGTTTCAAGGAATAGGCTCATGTGACCGTGGGGGCTGGCAAGTCTGAAATCGACAGGGCAGGCCAGGCAATTCCTGCAGAATTTGATGTTGCAGTATTAAGTCCTAAGGCAGCAGGCCTGGAGTAGAATTCCTTCTTCCCTGGGAGGCCTCAGTGTGTTCTCTGCAGGCCTTCAACTGATTAGATGAGGCCCACCCACGTTATGGAGAGTAACCTGCCTTACTCAGTCTCCTGATTTAAATGTTAGTTACATCTAGAAAATATTTTCGCAGCAGCATTTCCACTGGCTTCTGACCAAACATCAGGTCACCAAGTTGATCCCCAAAATTAACCATCACCCTGTGCCTGTAAGGGAGGGGCTGGGAAAGGGGAACAGTTCTCCCCAGGGGGTGACCTAGGTTTGTTCCTCCCAGGCCTGGAGTTTATTCGGAAAAGCCAGCTGGTCCAGCCCGTGGGGCCACTGGTTGTGCTGCTGCCCCTGGCGGGTGGGTACAGCCGGGTCTTCAACGCCGCCTGCCAGCGCCTCGCGAGGGCTGGGGTCGTGCTGGTCACCGCTGCCGGCAACTTCCGGGACGATGCCTGCCTCTACTCCCCAGCCTCGGCTCCCGAGGTAGGTGCTGAGGCTGCTGCCCCAAGACGGGGGGCGAAGGCCAGGCGGGCCCCGGGGGCTTCTTGCAGCACGTTCCTGGAGGCTGAACCCTTCTGGCTTTGGAAGGAGTCGTCAGAGACCCCCGCCATGCAGGAGGCTGGGGAAGAATGGGCTCGAGCCTCCATCATCCCAGAGTCTGAACAGCAGTGACCCCGCCACGCCCCCACGTAGCGGCGCCCACGTAGCCACGCCCCCACACCCCGTCGTGGCCACTCTCCCTCCTGAGGGTCTCCTGGTAGCCGCCCCCTCCCCATCTCCCTCCCCAGGCCCTGCGTCCTCTGCCCAATAGTCTTAGGGCCTCCCCATTATCCAGATCTCTCCGCCGCTGCATGACTGACCACTTGAGCAAGGCTAATGTGAATGGGAACAGTTGAGGGCTCAGACCTCACCCGAGGGACATCCAGAGAGTGCGCCGCAGGGCCGCGCACAGACACGGGGCCTCGGCCCTGAGGAGCTGGGGGGCAGTGACCGTCCCTCTGACCACCGCTCCTCCAGTGTCCGGACACTGCGGGTATCTAGGGGAGAGAATCTTGTTCCACTTCAGGTCTGGAACTTCAAGTCCGTGTGTGTGCGCGCGCGCGTTGTGGGTGGGGATTGTGGAGCAGATGCGTACCTGACAGCGGTAACCTAGATCCTCCCTGGCCTCTGAGGCTTCCCTGGCAGCCGAATTTAAAGGCATCAAGCAAACAAAGCCCAACACGTCTCTGCCTTGCCCTCTCAGTCTCCCCCCGTGGCACTTAGAGACACCTGACACACCGAGTAGTTTCCTATCTCCCTCACTAGAATGTAAACTCCACAGGGGCATTGGGAATGCTGCCTGGCTATGGTAGGGACAGAGGGGAGCACCAGGGCGGGGCAGGGGTGCCAGAGTTCTGCCTGGGGAGTCAGATTTTCCTTAGGAGGGGAGATTTGAATGGGACCCAAACAGGTGTATAGCAGTTGTTCAGCCCAGCTGGCAAGGCCTCAGTTTGCTTCTGCAACCCCTCTCTTGGGCTCCTTTCTCTGCCACCTACCTCCTCACCTTTCCAGGTCATCACAGTTGGGGCCACCAATGCCCAGGACCAGCCGGTGACCCTGGGGACTTTGGGGACCAACTTTGGCCGCTGTGTGGACCTCTTTGCCCCAGGGGAGGACATCATTGGTGCCTCCAGCGACTGCAGCACCTGCTTTGTGTCACGGAGTGGGACATCGCAGGCTGCTGCCCACGTGGCTGGTAAGTCACCACCCCACTGCCTTGGCCACTGTGATGCTAACAGCCCTTTGGCAGTCAGGGTCTGTGCCAGGACCTCCAGTGCCAGGCTCTGTGCAGGGGGACCAGAGATGAGACAGGCCTGATGGTGCCTTCATGGACACTCAGTCTGATGAGGGAGGCGAGTGCACAGTGGGAACACGAGGTTAGGGCTGTATTAGAGGGAGCCCAGAGGAGGCACCTGCCCAGCCCGAGGGTCAGAGAAGGCTTCTTGGACAAGGGACATTTGATCTGGAGCTTGATGGATGAATAGGAGTCCACCTGGCCGATAAGACAGCAACGACCAAGGCTTAGAGGTGTGACGGAAGGCTGTCTTACCTCACTGTGTGAGGGACTGCAGGCGGCTTACCTTCGAGAAGAGAGCTTGGTGTCTCTGTGTGTGCACGTGTTTTTGTGTGTGTGTGTGTGTGCGTGTGTGCACTGGCAGGAGTCCCCTGCTGGGGCAGGAGGGTCAGGCCATCACCATCTTTCCCCATTCACCCCTGTACCAGGCATTGCAGCCATGATGCTGTCTGCCGAGCCGGAGCTCACTCTGGCCGAGTTGAGGCAGAGACTGATCCACTTCTCTGCCAAAGATGTCATCAATGAGGCCTGGTTCCCTGAGGACCAGCGGGTACTGACCCCCAACCTGGTGGCCGCCCTGCCCCCCAGCACCCACAGGGCAGGTAAGCAGGATGGCAGGGTGGGCGAGGCCAGGCTGGGGCTTGGGAGGTCTGTGTGACCTTGACAGTCTCTCCCCTCTCCCTTGTCTGTGTAAGGAGGATGACACCACCTTAAATAGGATTAAATGAGAAGGGGGCTCTGAAAGGGCTTTGCAATATTTTCATAACATGTTTTTATAGAGACAGTTGAGTATGTTCTTTAAGCCCTCCTCTCTCCTACCATGAACTAAAGATTTTTGTGGAGGTCCCCTCACTCCCAGCACCCCCTCCTCATCCCAGGCACTTTTTGCAGGTTGGCAGCTGTTTTGCAGGACTGTGTGGTCAGCACACTCGGGGCCTACACGGATGGCCACAGCCGTAGCCCGCTGCGCCCCAGATGAGGAGCTGCTGAGCTGCTCCAGTTTCTCCAGGAGTGGGAAGCGGCGGGGCGAGCGCATCGAGGTGGCTACCCCTCCTTCGTGTGTGTGTGTGTGTGTGTGTGTGTGTGTGTGTGTGTGTGTGAGTGCTGGGCCCTGAGGGACCCGCAGCAAGCCCCTCCATCCTCGACACTCCAGCTCTTCTGTAAGCTTACAGGGCTGGCCAGAGCAGGAGTGGGGCACTCCTCATCTCACGCTGCTGGGGGCCGCTGGAGAGAGCCACAGTGAGAAGGATTTCCTAGAGGCTGCAGGACAGTGCTGGATAGATTTTCAATGGGTGCTGGATGGGTGTCAGCGTGAGGGTCAGGGATCTGCTACTCTGGACTCAGCCATCTCTAGGCCCTTCTCACTCAGGTGCACCATGGTTCTGGGAGCTGAGAAATCTCAAACCAGCAAAAAAGGGGAATTGATGTTGATGCTACAGGGTAGTGCACAGATGCCATCTGGTCGCAGCATTTTGGTGGAAGGGCAGTGCCCAGTCAGGAGAGTGAGGAGGGGCAGGCATTTCTGGCCTGGGAGATGGTGTCTTAATGCTTGTGTGGGAGGCAGAGTGGGTGGGGTGGAGCCTGCTGGGTCCTTGCTTTGGCCTCTTGGATTTCCCTGTATCTCCATTTTGAAACCACTCTGTGTTTGGAAGAACTTTTGAGTATTCAGAGCTGCCCATTGGCAGAACAGTCTACTTTGGGCAGGAGCGAGCTCCTTGTCCCCAGAAGGCTAGGAGCAGGGTCTGACTGGCCCCTGGTAGGGACACTGACGAGGGTGCTTGAGTTGATCCTGTCTAGTCCCTTTCTCTGTTTTCAAAGCCCATTCTAAAGCAGATTCCCATTTCTGTCTTTGACTCTCAGGCCCAAGGGGGCAAGCGGGTCTGCCGGGCCCACAATGCTTTTGGGGGTGAGGGTGTCTACGCCATTGCCAGGTGCTGCCTGCTACCCCAGGTCAACTGCAGCGTCCACACAGCTCCACCAGCTGGGGCCAGCATGGGGACCCGTGTCCACTGCCATCAGCAGGGCCACGTCCTCACAGGTAGGAGGCTGGGCCTGCCCTGGGGTGAGGAGAGTTCCCTTTCTCCTTATGCACCCACTGCCCGCGAGGCTTGGTCCTCATGAGTGTGATCCATGAGACTGGAACCCGACTTTCCATTCCATACTCTGGTTCTGTCACTTCCATGCCCTTTGACCCTGGGCAGGTGACCTTACTTCTCGTCTCAGCTTCCTCCTCCATAAGAGGGAAAAAGGTATCACCTGCCTCATTGTGTTGCGAGGAGATAGGGCACTGGCCTGGAGCATGGCAGGTGCTTTGCCTAAGGTGGTGCAGTTCAGGAGAGGCAGCTCCAGAGAGAGGACCCCGGCTGGGGCTGAAAGGAGGGGCAGACCTCGGTTTGAATTTCACTCTGCCACTCGATAGCTCTGTGACCTGAGCAAGTTACTTAACGTCTCTGTATGAGGAAATGATGGGTGCTAAGCACTTAGCTTAATGCTTGGACAATATAGATTCTAGCTATCGTTACTATTATTGTCGTCACCTGTTGCTTTAAAATCCAGTCTCTGGTATAGGCAACTATTGATAGGCTACCCTGTGTCGAAAACATGTCCAGGCAGGTAGCAGGAAGTCACAGATGGGGACTCTTGGGGCATCAAGGGATGGCGCCCCAAGGCTGAGCTGTTCTGGTTGGGTGGAGCGTGAGAGGTCTAGGAAGACAGTGGAGCTCCAGCCTGGAATAAGAGGCTCAGAGTTGATTCTCGTCTGAGCATGTCCAGGGGAGCCACTGAGGGTTTGGGAACAGGAAGGTGAGGGTGAGAACCTAACTCTGGGCACAGCAGGCTGGCATGTGGGATGGATGTTCAGGAAAGATGAGCGTAGTCAGGTGGCTGGTGCCCTTGTCCAGGGGAGAGGCTCCATCCGGTCCGGGGATCCTGGCTTGGAGGGAAGTCCGCCATGCTCTAATCACACTCCCCTTTGGAAATGCTCAGCTGATGAACTCACAGGCACATGTCAGTTCGAAGTCATGGAATCTCACTCTATGAGGCACACCTCAAAGAGCCCCATTTTGTAGCTAAGGGAACTGCAGGCTGGACATGCTGAGTGACTGCCCTGAGCCCTTGCATCTAGGACATAGAGAATGTTAGTAACCACAACCCTACCATGTTCAGAGCACATGCCAGGCTCCATGCTGGGGCTTCACACGTGTCATCTTCACAGTGTCCCTGTGAGTAGGTGCAGTTTCTCTTTCCATCTTACAAATGAGTAAACAGAGCCTCAGTGTAGCTGAGTAATAACTATTTTCGGTTTCTTAGCCAATGCGTGTGTCTGACTTCTAAGCCCATGGAGGGCATCCCCAGGTGGTCCAGACAGACCCCAGCTTACCGTTGAACTTCTGCCTGCTGGCTGCATGGGGAGTTTGGGGGAAGTTTGAGCATCTCAGGCCATAGAGCGCCTGCTTCACTGTCTCCATCTCTGGGTGGAGAGGTGATGTTTTCCCTGAGAAACTAAGGCTCAGGTTGAATGGCTCTCCCATGGTCACACAGCTGGTCAGGAGTGGAGTTGAGAACACAGGAGTCCTGATGCTCAGGCCAGCATCTCTTATCTTCTTTGAGTTGTTTCTGGGTTTCCTAGCTCCTGCCTCACACTTTAAAGAGAGAAGGTCTGATGGGGATGGGCACTGGAGACAGAGCATTCCAGCATTTCACTATCTGAGCTGGCCTTCCTCTGACCCAGGCTGCAGCTCCCACTGGGAGGTGGAGGACCTTGGCACCCACAAGCCGCCTGTGCTGAGGCCACGAGGTCAGCCCAACCAGTGTGTGGGCCACAGGGAGGCCAGCATCCACGCCTCCTGCTGCCATGCCCCAGGTCTGGAATGCAAAGTCAAGGAGCATGGAATCCCGGCCCCTCAGGAGCAGGTGAGGAGGCCTGTGAGGACGGGTGGGTGGGGTGCCGTGGGGTGGCGTGAGTCTCTCCTGTGCAGCTTTTGTGGGTCAGTTTGTGCCACCACCATACTGCCATGCATCAGGGTGGCGGTTTGCCGGGTAGATGCTGTGGGCAGCTTCCGCCATTGTGTGGACAGTGTGTGTATGTATCTGTGTGTGGCTAGGTCTGTTTTTGCTTTTGTCCAGATCAGTAAGGTTTGTTGCCTGAGTACCCCAATCCACTTGGTGTAGAATGTGCATAAATTTGCCATAAAGAAATACAATATGCATGCATTTATTGATTGATCTATTTTTTTCTAAGATGGGGTCTTGCTATGTTGTCCAGGCTGGTCTCAAATTCCTGGGCTCAAGCGATCCTCTGGCCTCAGCCTCCCCAAATGTTGGGATTACAGGCATGAGCCACTGCACCTGGCCTCTCTGATCTATTTAACAAACCTGCTGGGACGTTCTCAGGGTCAGGAGCAGCACTGGGCTGTGAGGACACAGAGCTCACTCAGCCATGACCCAGAGGGGGTGCCTGAGCTGCATGCCGAAGGTTGTTAGCATGACCAGCAAGGCAAGAAAAGGCCCTGCCGAGATTAGCGAGGCACGTGCCAAGCCCTGGAATGTGAGAGCCAGGCCTTCTAGAAACCTGGGTGTGGACATGACCAACAGTTGCTCTGGAACTCTCCTTTTTAAAAGCCAGTGGGAGCTTCTTAAAAGGCAGCCCTAAGGAGTCCACTCTTAAATGAACTCAGACTCGGTTTTAAAATGCAAGTCTGTGTTGATTCTGGTCTGGATGGTGCATTCCTCCATAGCAAAAGACAGTGTTGTTCTTGGATCCACTTTCCCTGGGTGCACTGAGGGCTGCGAGGTTCCAGGTGCTCTTCCTGGCACTGGGGAGGGATACAGCCTGGACAGACATGTTCTCCCTCCTGGAGCATCTATTTTAGTGGGGGAGGACAGAAAACAAACCAGTAAATTACAGAGTACTGAAAAGATGCGATGGAGAAAACTATAGCAAGGAAGGGAATGGGGTGGGGGAGAAGTCAGGAGAGGTCTTGCTGAGAAGGTGAAGGAAATGGGCCATCAGGCAGGGAATGTGTTCCAGGCAGAGCAAAGGCCCCGGGGTGGGGATGCGCCCGGGAGTACCAGGAAACCAGAGGTGGGAGTAGTTACGAGGTGGGGGATGCCTCAGAGGGGACAGGGCCAAGTCAGGTGAGACCCGAGGGCCACAGTCAGGAGTCAGCTGGGGCCACACAGAGGTCCAGCCTAGGGGGAGTGTGATCTGGCCTGGATCTGAACCTCTCACTGTGGCCTAGCTGCTGAGCTGAGAAGAGATGACAAGGGCCTTGGGCAGAAGCAGGGAGACTGGAGGGAGGCAGTGGAGGGTCCAGGCGTTGGGGCGGGGCTCAGGCTGGAGTCTGAAGGGAGCCTGCAGGCCTGGTGGGTGGACATGGGTGGGAGAAGGGGAGGACGGCACCAAGGCTTGGGACCCTGGACAGATGGAGTTGCCATTAAGTGGGATGGGGCAGGCTGTGGGGCCGTCAGTTTCAGAAGGAAGATGAGTTTGGCATTGGCATGGTAGGCATCTGTCTGTCCCCGTGCCCCTCAAACCAGGCATGAAGCAGGAGCTCACGTGTTTGGTCAGCGATGGTGCAGAACCGCCGGGGCGGGAGGTGCGGGGTGGGAGATATGTGTTTGTGTCTCAAATGGGCTCTGAGCCAGGGAGGGCTATCTGCCCCTTGGCCTCACAGCGGGATGTTGGAGGGAGAAATGAAGTGTAGGTGGGGGTCCCGGGCCATGCTGGACTGTGCTTTCTTCTCCTCGGCTCTGGCAGGTGATCGTGGCCTGTGAGGACGGCTGGACCCTGACCGGCTGCAGTGCCCTCCCTGGGACCTCCCATGTCCTGGGGGCCTACGCCGTAGACAACACGTGTGTGGTCAGGAGCCGGGACGTCAGCACCACAGGCAGCACCAGCGAAGAAGCCGTGGCAGCCGTTGCCATCTGCTGCCGGAGCCGGCACCTGGTGCAGGCCTCCCAGGAGCTCCAGTGACAGCCCCATCCCAGGATGGTGCCTGGGTAGGGTCAGGGGCCGGGGCTGAGCTTTAAAATGGTTCCAACTTGTCCCTCCCTCAGCCCTCCATGGCCTAGCCCGAGGGGACGGGGATGCTTCCACCTTCCTGGAGCTGCTGGCCTGGCCCTTGAGTGGGGCAGGCTCCTTGCCCAGAACTCACTCACTCTGGATGCCCCCTCCCCTGGTGGAGGTGCCAGGAAGCTCCCTCCCTCACTGTGGGGCATTTCACCATTGAAACAGGTTGAGCTGTGCTTGGTGCTGCCAGCTGCTCCCAACATGCCAACATCTGTGGGCAGAACGGCTTTTATTGAGCTCTTGTTCGGTGCCAGGCATTCAGTCCTCACGTCTCCACCAAGGAGGCAGGATTCTTCCCATGGGTAGGGGAGGAGGTGGTAGGGGCGGCAGGGACAAGCATCATCAGGGGGCGAGTGTGAAAGATGCTGATGGCCCTCATCTCCAGCTCACTGTGGGGAAGCCCCTTGGGGCTCCCTTGATTAGTGGAGGCTCAGCTTTCTGGATGGCATCTAGCCAGAGGCTGGTGATCAACGCGTCCCTGGTGGTCATGGGCTGTGCCTTGGTTTCCTGAGCGACCTTTACTCTGCTCTATGCCAGGTTGTGCTAACAACACCCAAGGGTGGCCTGCAGGGAGCCGTCACCTAGGACTGACTCTGCAGTGTGCAATGGTGCACGCACCGTCTCAGCCAACCTGCTGCACTACCCAGCAGACTACACATTTGCATCCCTGCTTTACAGGGGAAGCAACCTGGAACCAGAGGAGGCATGCCTGCCAAGCTCACACAGCAGGAACTGAGCCAGAAACCCAGATTGGGCTGCCTCTGAAGCCAAGCCTCTTCTTACTTTACCCCGCAGGTAACAGTGAGGCTGGGAAGGGGAACACAGACCAGGAAGCTCAGTGAGTGATGGTGGAACGATGCCTGCAGGCACGGAACTTTTCCCGTATCATCTAGGCCTGATTCACTGTGGCCTGATGGAGATGCTTCTGAGGGATGGTGGGAGGAGAGGGACAACTGTCCCTCCTTGAGCACCAGCCCCACCCAAGCAAGCAGACATTTATCTTTTGGGTCTGTCCTCTCTGTTGCCTTTTTACAGCCAGCTTTTCTAGACCTGTTTTGCTTTTGTAACTTGAAGATATTTATTCTGGGTTTTGTAGCATTTTTATTAATATAGTGACTTTTTAAAATAAAAACAAACTTTGTCCTGACTTTTGCATAGACTTGACTGCCTCGGGTGATGCCTTGTTTATACTAGGAACTGGGTAAGTTTGTTGAGTAAGCCAGGTACTTGTATCTTGAGTACAAGTATTGGGTAAGTACTGGTGATGTGAACTTATTCCCTGTGCCTGTCCTAGGAATGAAATGAATGTCTTCCTGCAGCTCCCCGGACGACCCTGGCAGTCAAAGTGCCTCCTCCTTGGTGACGGATGCCCTACATCCTAGATGCTCTGTTGTCCTAACCTCCCAATGCCCTTTTCATTCTTTTCTCCCCAGTTCCTGGCACAGGGCCTGGCCCAGAGTATTTATGGAATAAGTTACAGTGCCAGATGCTTCTGTAATGAGCCAGTGCTAAGTCCATGGCTATTTTTCATGATTTAAAATTCAGAACAGTCTCAGGTCGGGTGCAATGGCTCACACCTGTAATCCCAGTACTTTGGGAGGCTGAGGCTTGCATGTAGGAGTTCAAGACTCTGGGCAACACAAACGTCGTCTCTACAAAAAAAATTTTTTTAATTAGGTAGGTGTGGTAGCACATGCCTGTGGTCCCAGATACTCAGGAGGCTGATGTGAGAGGCTTGCTTGAGCTGGGAGGCTGAGGGTGCAGTGAGCTGTAATTGCATCACTGCACTGCAGCCTGGGTTACAGAGTGCACTCTGATCCCATTCAACGTAGGACCTCCAGGCCCTCCACTCTAAGGCTGGTGAGCATAGCTGTCTTAAGCAAGTTGTATCTCTACACAGCCCAAGTCATAAGGAATCTCAGGCAAAAATCCTCCCAGATTACATTTTCTGACATTTAGTGTCATATATGAAAAGCATTCAAGAGTTGACAGATGGCAATGGCTTGAACACCCCAACTGTGTATCTCTGCCCCTTGGAACCTAGGCCTGTTGTGCAAGCCTAGACTCTCTCTCCTTCCCCTCCCCAGGATCAAGTGTCAGCTGGTTAGATATCCACACCTTGACAGCTCTGTGATGTTGGAACAACTTGGTTCTTGCAGAGGGTTGGCAGGTGGTCACCAGGGATCAGGGAGGAAGGGGTGTGGCTTGCAGGAAGAGGAAGATCTGGACTAGCAAATAGGGAAGGGGACCCACGTGAGCAACGCTGGACACTAGAAATGAGACTGAGACCTGTGGGATCTAGCAAGAAGCCCAGCGTGACCAGCGACATGATCTATGCTGGGGACCACTTGGGAGAGCCGAAAGCTTTGGTGGAGATGAATGGAGAACATCAACCTAAGTTCAGCATCCTCCTCTAAGCTTTGCAGACGAATCCTAAAATGGTCAACCTCTCCAGAGGGAAGAACGGCAAAAGGCTCAGAGGACCCACAGTCCCCTTTGTTAGTGTAAAGCACTAAGAGGAACCATAACAGCATTTAGCCCCAGGGACAGGCTTGTGTTCCCCCGCCCACTATGGCCTCGTTCTGATACATGAAGAATGGCGGCGAGACTCCAACTCTTATGTTTTTGAAAAATTTATTTTATACTCTTAGAAGCTAAGAACTTTGCCACGCATGAACCAAATTTAGAATTAAGGTTCTTCCCTAGTGTATCTACTTTTGAAATTTTATAAACAAGATTTTATACACAAGAGGTAGCAGAGGAAAATTCCAGTCTGCTTGTTCCAAGCTCAGAAGGTAACTGCACACACCTCAATGTTAGCAGGGAAGGTGGGGCAGGACAGGGTAAGTTTGATGATACGGTGCTCTACTTCCTAAAACTGATTGTAGTTGTCAGTGACCGTGTGAGGACTCCAGGAGAAGTCGTGGTGAGATGCCCGCTGGGATGCTTGTTTTCTTTCCCAGGATGCCTTCAACGGGCAGAATCGGCCATCCTAAGATCGGCCTCACTAAGGGAGCTTCTTGAGAACACACAGCATTATTGAGTTAATTGTGCAATTCCTGCTCTGTTTGCAGACCATTTTGAAAGGTTTATAAAAACATCTTCATCCAAAAAATTGGCAGTAAAAATGACAACTCTTCCAAGGTAAGCCTGTCATAATTGTCACTGTTGTACTACATTAAAAAAAGTCATCAGCAGGTTCATTGACTGTAGCTGTCAGCAATCAAGTGGTTACCAGCAAAGTGAAAACGATGGTCATTGCAGCAACAACATAAGCAACATGATCTGAAGCGTATAATATACACGGTGGACGATCCTGATGAAGCTTTTCAGTGAGGACTGCAGGTGCTGGGGGTGCGGAAGGCGTTGTTTCCATAGGAAATAAGGGGACTAGAAGTGGCGATTTCACTCCTGATTTTGGGCTCCTGAGAGTGCAGTTGCCAGCGATGACATCCCAGCGTGGATCATCGCCAGCATTTCAAGGTCATGTCCCACACAATCTCTTGGTGAGGATGCGGGTGGAGAGAGGGTGAGAATAGGGTAGGGGAAACAGTAGGACAGGAAGTATTCACGTACTCAAAACCAATGTTAGAACATCACATTTCAAACTGCAAGAACACTGGAACTGTCTGAAGTTCGCCACTTGCCTCTGTCCATTTCTCTAAGGGCACAGTTCTGCTCTTAAGTGCTGGCCCTTCCATCTTTTCAGTGAGTTTGACAAAAGGCCATTGCCAGCCTCCAGCAAGTCACAGAATAACAAAGTGAAGTCTGACGGCACAGAAACCCTCACTGCCAGAGAATGAAACGACTGGGCCAGGGCGAGAGCACAACAATGAGACGCCATCTGCCTGGCCACGTGCCCACACAATGCCACAGCAGCCAGACAGGCACTTCAGGGCTGGCTGCGCCTCTGTGACTTGGCAAATCTAACTGACAGTGAAAACCTGGCACTTCCTGAAGCTCCCTAGTTCTGTGCATGGTGAGATGAAAATAAGGCAGAACCTGTAACTAAAGGCAAAACAGGGCCGAAAATGTGAGCAATTCAAAATACAAAATGTACAAAGTATATATGAAATATGTGGGTGTAACCTCCCCCACCATAAAAGGGAGCTGGTATAAATGAGTGAATGGTGCTATACTTTGCAAATACAACTAAATGAATGGTTACTCAATTGCTTTGTATTTATTTCTGGGAAAATAAATCTTAAACCTTGACTGTCGTTTCAGTTAATCAGTCATGTTGAGGAGAAACAAATTCTCAAATTCCTTCTCTGCATTACAATTACTACGAAACTCACAAGCAGTGTGTACCAACTCAAATAGTTAACTTCATATACAACCAATACCAAGGGTTTCAGTAATTATGTTTTAAGCAAAAGCAAATGATTGCAGATCACATGATTTAAGACTACAGTTTATTCAATATGTCTCCAAGCATTAAAAAGATAATTCTATGAAGTCAAACGCAGTAAAATTGTAACTTAAAGTGCTTTTATTTTGCTGTTTTTAAAATCTGTTTGGGGAATAACTCATAAGTGACTGATGTCAAATAACGCACCCTGTACTTCTGGAGAACACAGCATTTTCAAAATTGCTCTTTTTAATATCAATTATATCAGAAAAATACCTTCAAGAGCTTAATGTTTCCCAATTTTTGATCCTGATCCTGTAACCTTTCATCAAGATCCAAGCTTATGCATAGGGTTCTCATCTAGACCCATCTGAAATTCTATACAAATAGGGAGACATATTAAATACAAAGGTCTGTGTAAATTGACTTCTTTAACTACTATTTTACAATGAAAAGGAATTTTATTACATCTTTACATCATTTTAAATTGGATATTCCTGTTTAATGTTACTGTAAGATTAAAAATTTGCCCCCACATATCTAAAAGCAGCTTGCTTTTTTTTTTTCTTAAAATATAAAAACCAAAGGAATTTCTTTTGTAGCATCGTAGAGAAAGCAACAGCTTTATGCTCACTTTTGTATGTCTGTGTAACAAAAAAGTCTGCCACTGGCTCTATTTCTGAAAATCTCCACAGAAATGTGAATCCACATATAGACCACGCTCCCGGGACAGCTGATCCACATGCCGGAGTTCTTCCACTGTCAAACAGCTCCCAAATCTTCTAGTGGCCTAAAAATGCTTTCCTTGAGAAATACACGATCTGCCCAAGTCACAGCAGCTTTCCCAGTCTAATCTCCAGGCTCTTCCAAAGGGTTCAAGTTTGAGATTCTGATTCCAAGAAGATGCTGAGCATCCTGTATTGTGTCTTGACTCCTCTCAGGCTGGGCACGTTCCTCTAGGGATCAACATCGTCAAGGTCACTTCTCAACTCACCAATCATCATGGGAGATTCTGAACCCTGCAGAAAAGAAAAGAAAGTTAAAGTTCATACGGTTAGAGAAAAGATTTTCTATGCCGACTTGTGTTCTGCAATTTAAACATGTCTTCATCTGGCAACTTAATGCAATGTTTATCAAAGGGTAATAAAATGTGATAACCATTACATCTAATATTTGACAATTCATGATTATGTAAAACATGTACATTTCTATGATCTCATTTAGTCAGTGAAACCACCTAGCGACTTGTCTAAAGTCACAATGCTACTCTGCACTCACGTGAGAACGCAGAGCAGTGATAAAGCTGGGGGGCATTGGTGGCCACTGCGCCCGCTTCACGTTGGGCACTGTGTGAGCCTCCCTGCCCTGCACCTGCCAAATATGGGCTCTGGGTCACTCCTGGGTCTGAAGGCTGCCTCTGTTACCATCTGTGTGGCCTTTGGCTTACACACTTGGCGAATCGTTCTGAATACTCACCGTATGCCGTGAGACTGATCTAGTTGGAGCTCGGGTGGGGAGGAGCCAGGACAGTCTCTCTAAAGTGACAACCTAAGCTCAGTGACAGTTGGGGGTGAGTAGGGGGGCCCTGAGGTGGAAGGAAGAGAGTATATTTGATAAATAAAATTCAAAAAATGGGCCAGGCACGGTGGCTCATGCCTGTAATCCCAGCTACTTGGGAGGCTGAGGCAAGGAGAATCACTGGAACCTGGGAGGCAGAGCTAGCAGTGAGCTGAGATGGCGCCACTGCACTCCAGCCTGCGCGACAGTGTAAGACTCCATCTCAAAAACAAAAACAAA